GAGTTGGATTTTTTGGTTTTGGTATATGGAGGTTATGCTCTTGTAAGAGACTCATAAATTCTCTTATAAGACAGTTCTAATCGTTTTAAATAAAATTGGAAATATCGTATTAAAATCAAATAAAAAAAGAAGTAAAAGCATGAGTGATAAATAATTTTTTTATTCTTTACATTTGACATTTACATACGACTAACTGTAAGTAGTAAATAAGATGACAATGAAAATATTTGGTGACATAGGTACCAAAAGAAAGCTATCAAATTGGTATATGGTTGATAAAAAGGTTGTTAAATGACATTAAACATATATATATATATATATAGGTTCTTTACCTTTGTCAAAGATCAATATGAGGTCTAAACAAAATGTCATTGTTTTAACCTTAAGGATGTTAAACAAAAATGCTTAAGAAATAAATTTAACAACCATTAATTATAATTTTAGAATTCAACAATTGTCACCAATAAGTTTAATATTAAAATGTTACATATATTGACCTTCTTCTAAATCTTATAGTTGGGTACCCACTGGTTTATTTATTAAGGTGCTACCTTAATAACCTTACACAAATTTCAAGTTCTTCCCCTGGGTCCACGACCCTTCCCCACCGGTCCTTTTTTTCGGCTATCTACTCCAATCCATATCATTTGAGGGCATACTTGTATTTTCTTCTCACTTAGATCCCAATAATTGATGCATATATTCCACCCAAAACAAAGTTGGAAAGTATCGTGTGATTATCTATATTCTTTCTAAAAATCAAAATTTATTGTTATATCTTTTGACACAAAAGAATACAAGACAGTCATAAAATATCAACATCATAAGTTATATTTAATAACCCGATCATATTTTCAGTAGGGATGAACATTGGTCGGTTTGGATCGGTTTTTGGCTAAAACCAAACAAAACCGTAGAAAGTCGGTTTTTCGGTTTTTAAAACCATATAGGTTCGGTTTTTGCATGGGTCGGTTTTTCGGTTTTCCGGGTTGGGTTTATGGGTTTTCGGTTTTAAACCGTGGGTTTATGAACTCCTGTTTTTTTCTAGTTTTTGAGTTCAAACCTAGTGAAAATACGTTGCGATAAATAGTATTGTATCTACTTTAAATATATTAAAATAAAGAGTACGAATTCTATATTATAAAAACATAAAAGAGTTCAAAAGATCAAAGTTTAACATCATTAACAATTTGTTGAAAATAAACATAAAGTATTAAAGAGATAAAGTCTAAAGTTTAAAACTAAAAGTTTAAATCATAATATAAATAATATATATGTTGGTCGGTTCGGTTTTTATGGGCGGTTTTATACATCAAAACCGAACCAAACCGTTATTTTTCGTTTTTTGTAAAATTCAAACCTAAACCGTCGGTCATTGCTTTGGTTTCGGTTTTTCCGGTTTCGGTTATGTCGGTTTTTTTTTCGGTTTTTCGGTTCGATTTTTGCTCATCCCTAATTTTCAGTCTTCATAGAAATAACAAATTTACAAAATAATTTTATGGATGGTTTTGATTTTTAGAAATTTCTTTTTAAATTACAAATAATTATGTTATTTTACAAAAAAAAAAAAAAAAAGTTTTAAGATTTTTTATTTATGATAAGAGACCTTTTAGAAACAATTTCACAATTCATAAAATATATACTACGAAATTCATTGTCATTTTATTAAAGGGATAATGACTTGAAAGGGTAACGAACTTTCGATTTTTGTCACATTTAGTCACTAAACTTTTTTTCGTTATTTATTTGCCATTGAACTATTGAAACTGTTCACATTTTACCCTTATGACCGGCTGTTACCGATCATAAGGGTAAATTGTGAACAGTTTCAATAGTTTAGTGGCAAATAGATAATGAAAAAAAGTTTAGTGACTAAATGTGAACAAAATTGAAAGTTCGCTTCCCTCTAAAAAGTTCAATAACTAAATGTGAACAAACTTCCTATTGTATTATGTTTTAGCAAAATTATTTATTTTTGTTTAATTGTAGCAACATTTGTTGATGAAGAAATCTATGAAATAAAAAAAACAAAATGTAACATCCAGATTTCCGGGTATCATCATTTAAGTATTTTTCTTTTGAGTTAAGAAGAGAGACTCGATGAGTTAACGCCTCAACTCGTCGAGTAAGGTCGCAACTGATGACTCAGATTAATGAATGGACTCGACGAGTCCGCGTTGTTGGCAGAAACCCTAAATCTTTGGGCTCGAGCCATATTTAAAGGTACTTATGGCCTTCAATTGCGACTACCTTTCCCATAAGTGAGAACCCTAGCGAGCTTGAGTGTGTAGAGTGAGAGGAAGAGCTATCTTGAGCTTTTTGGTGTGATAGATCTGGACCCTTCTAGGTTCAGAGAGCCGAGAATATGAAGCTTTAGTAGAGTAAACCTTGGGGTTCAAAGTTAGGAAGCATTTATGGTATATATAGTTACTTTCATCTTACACATAGATATGAAGTATTTTATATAAATTACGTGCTATGTGTGCATATTATTTGAATACTTGTTGTGTATGCTGGATGAACGATTTTATACACGTTTTAAAAGATTTAAACGGTATATTTATTTTATATCTACAAATATGTTGCGGATGAAACATGTGTAGATGAAATAGTTGGTGTGTGATGAAATAAAATGATAAGAGATAGGTGATGATAGAAAGGTGGTGATAATTAGGTAAATAGATGATGATGAATATCTGATGTAGGATGAAAGGATATACCATAACCTTAACCAGCAATGTGACGATGTAGTCATCTACTAGAGTATAGATGGCGACCACAGACTATTCTAGACAACAAAGTGGAAACACCAGCAGACCCATAACCTGTAGGTGATGAATTACGAGTTCAGACGATGTTGTAACTACGTCTTCATGTGATGATACTCTAACCCCTTACTATGAATTACGAGTTCAGACGATGTTGTAACTACATATTCATGGGATGTCACAAATTCCGTATGCCAAACCAATGGTCATAATTCACATCAGTGAGAATGGTTCATTTTTTTGTAAAACCAAAATCAGATTGGAAATTTTGATTTTTTATTTTGGAAAATGTCAAACCATTGGTTTTTTATTTCGGTTTTGGTTTTTTGTTTTTTTTAAATATATTTTCAGGGTTTTTGTTTTTGTTTTTTTGTTTTTTTTTATTTCATAGATTTCTTCATCAACAAATGTTGCCATAATTTAACAAAAATAAATAATTTGCTAAAACATAATACAAGAGGAGGTTTGTTCACATTTATTCATTGAACTTTTTAGAGGGAAACGAACTTTTGATTTTGTTCATATTTAGTCACTAAACTTTTTTTCGTTATCTATTTGCCATTGAACTATTGAAACTGTTCACATTTTACCCTTATGATCGACAATAGCCGGTCATAAGGGTAAAATGTGAACAATTTTAATAGTTCAATGACAAATAGATAACGAAAAAAAATTTAGTGACTAAATGTGATAAAAATCGAAAGTTCGTTACCCTTTCAAGTCATTATCTCTTTATTAAACGAAGAATACATTTGATTTTCTTATAAGATATCCTTTTCACAATTATTTTGTTTGTAATTATTTGTATTATATATTTTGTACAAGTATTAGATAAACAAAGACAAAAGCTAGGGTCAAACCAATGATGACAATGATTATTATATATAACCAATACTTTGTTCCTATAAACTCCCTTTCATTAAATTAATATCCTAACATCCTTGACCTATGAATTGGAGCCCACATTATTTTTTAATAAAAAATACTTTCCATTGTGCTAGTTTAACTACATGTTTACAATTTGTATGAATAATTAATTATTTATTTAAAAAGAAAAATTAAAGCAACTCCTAAGGCATATGCTAGAATTAGGCTCATTTCCCAATTAAATGCCAAAAAAGCTTTTTCATATTTAATTAAAAGCATAAATACTCCATTTGAATACCTGTTGGTTTCTCATGAGTCGTGACCCCTGCCGCTTTCTTCTTTTCCTTTTTCCACTGTTTTGTTTATTCTTATTTGAGTAAATTACAAAATTGGTCCCTGTCTTATTTTAAATATTTCAATTAAAGTCTTTTTTTCTTATTCCTAGTCTAAATTTCAAACTTTTATATAGATTTGGTTTTGTGTTATCCAACAATGCAGTTTCGATAAGTGTGGTATCTTAAAATATACAGTTTGAGTCTTGTATATTTTAGATTTTGAGTATTTTATATTTTATGTAACAATTGTTTCGAATATCTAAGTTTTAACTTTAGAGTAAACTTACACCTTTTGGGATACTATAGGGATCGATTCTGTAATTTACTCTTCTCATTTTAAAAATAGATTTATTTAATCTAATTAAAATAATAAAAGAACATGTGAAAGAATCTTTATTAATCCTGAAGAACCAAACATACCAGTAAATTTAGGATTCCTCTGGGTCCAGGGAACCAAAATTAGAACATGAAGGAAGCCAGATCAGATGAACATCAACAAAAGAGAATCTTATAAAAATTGTGAAGAAAATTAGCAAAATTAAAGTAAGAGTTTATAATTAACTTGTTTTTGTTTTCTTGTATTTGTTTGCTTGTTATTACTGTCTATTTTAGCTTTTCGTTCACAAGATGATGAGATAATCATGTTCCCAGCTATTGCAACAACATATATGCTCTCATTTTCTAGAGAGAGAAAGCGAAAGGGATTGATGAATACAGGCCATTTCTTCTCTCTCTCTTTCTCTCTCTATCTCTATCTCTATCTCTCTCATCGATTCCAGTTCTGTAGTTCAAAACCCAACTGGCTTTTTCTTCAAATTTCTCTCATGATGATGATGGGTCTGTGAGTGTGTGTGTAAATATAGTTTGTTCTCGATGTTTCTTTCGGATTTCATGAGACAAACAGAGCTTCATATATGAATATTACATAGCCACATATTCTCTTCTTCTCATTTCTTTTTGTCTTATTCTTATGATTTGTACCTTTCTAAGCTTGTTCTTGCATTTCACACAGAGAAGCTTGTGATCTGTCATGATCCCTTTCCCTTTCTTCTTTTTCCTTTCGGTTTTCACAGGGTCGAGGTACTGTAACAAGGACAGTTCCGATAACGAAAGAGACGGAATCATGGTGTGTTTTTTTTTGTAATTCTCCTTCAAATACACGTTTCCATTACTGAAATCTGAGCTGGGTTTTGCTATTTGATGAGTTTTCCTGTTGTTCCTCTTCAATTCTCGAAGCTATTTCTCACGATATGCAAGTGGGTTTTGTTTATAATGTATTTGAATCGCAAATTTTCTGGAATAAAGGGTAGATTGTTGACGAATTCCAAGATGAGGGAATGTAATGGTGGATGGAAATGGAAAAAGCTGCTTCTTTTTGTTTGGATTTTCGTTTTTGCCACTGGGTTTGTTTGGTTCTTGTTTGGTGGTGTTTCGAGTGAAAAAAGATTGAAGATTTCAGGGAAATGTGAAGATAATAATTCTTCGGTTTTGATTCAACAATTCAATGTCAGCAAAGATCATCTTTATGAACTGGCTTCCTCTTTCTTTGAGTCAAATCAGGTTTTGCTATCAAACCTTTTTTCTTTTACTGTTCATTTATACAACTTTTGGTACTTTATAAAGTATTTAGCATCTAGAGTACATGATAACTCGAGTAATATTGCTGAATTTTGGGTTGAAAGTTAAAAGATTTAAGTGTTAATCATGTTATTCATGAGTTGTGTAACTGTTTTATTGATTAAGATGATACACAATGCTTTGGTTTCTTGATCATGATTCCCATTTGGTCAATCAAATGATGCAATTTATATATATATATATATATATATATATATATATATATATATATATATATATATATATATATATATATATATATATATATATATATATATGCTTCAACATATCGTAAAGTAGTAACACCAATTTGGATTGTTCTTTTTAGGGTTAATCACAAAAATGATAAAAATCTATGGTTCATTTAGTAAATTGAGTAACTTTTTGACATTTTTATAAAAACGCCCACTTATTTCGTAATAGTAAGTTGGGAAATTACTTTTTACCAATAAAATGACTGCAAATTTTATTTTATTTTTTCGCAAAATGACATCGTCAATTCTCTTGGCAATATAATTGCGGACTATGATAAAGCAATTTTGGAAATGGCAATTAATTCCATTATAAAATTGATGGTCATTTTGGAAAAGGTTAAAAAGGTGGTCAATTTGTTAAAATCTGACAACCCATTTTGTATTTTCGGTTCTTTTTGTGATTATCCTTTTTTTTTTTGGATTAGCAAATGGAAATTTAAGAGCAACTAATATGTGATTTTCAAGAATCTTTTCAAGATTCTTTAGTGATGTAAAGAATTCTTGTTGTTAACTTTCAGATAACTTCGTTGAAATGTACCAAACAATTAGAACATGAAACAGTAATCACATGTGCTCTTGAAGTGCCAAAATTAAAAAACCATGAACTTGAAGAGCATCATTCACCTAATGTGGAATATGAAGAATCAAGTGATGAATACATTGAAGAGGTAAATCTAACATGAGCTTAATTTGGACCAAAATGAATGTTGTTTTTGAAGTATTTGATTCATTATATTCCTATTGTATTCAGAATATAATGCAAACAATGGTACCTCAAAACTTTCTAAGAGAAAATTACAATGGTATTTGCCTTTGTGCCATTTTTATAATGGCACTAAGCTACCGGAATCGTGGATTCCGGACAATATTATGGAGGAATCAGAATCGGAATCGGAATCGGAAAGTGCACGAGAAGAAAGATAAAGTAGAGGGATCCTCAAGGGGAGCTGGAAAATGGATGAAAAAGCTACTTGTTCTATACATCATAGCTGGAATCGCTGCTTCAATTTGGTTATTTTGGTACTTAAATTCAGGAATTAGTTTTAGAAGAAAAGAAACCCTAGCAAACATGTGTGATGAAAGGGCAAGAATGTTGCAAGATCAATTCAATGTGAGCATGAATCATGTTCATGCATTGGCTATTCTTGTTTCCACTTTTTACCATGGGAAAGAACCTCCTGCTATCGATCAAGTAATCTTTTTTTATTCTCATAATCTTGATATTAATCCAAGAGTAAATTACAAGAATGGTCCCTAAGTTCCATATGTTTTTGCAATCTTGGGACCTAAACTTTTACTTTTGTAATTTTGGTCCTAATTGCACACATTCCTTTCAAATTTGGGGCCTTTTTCAGATGGTGTTAAATTTCACCCGTTAAGCTTGCGTATGTGCGATGCACACAAGGGTAGTTTCGTCATTTTCCTTGTGTGCAATGCACACAAGGGTAGTTTCATCATTTCCCTTGTGTGCAATGCACATGCACAAGCTTAACGAGTGAAATTTAACACCATCTGATAAAGGTCCAAAATTGAAAGGAATGTATGCAATTAGGACCAAAATTACAAAATTAAAAGTTTAGGCCCCAAGATTGCAAAAACGTATGGAACTTAGGGGCCATTTATGTAATTTACTCTAAATCTAACTATAATAATGAAATTTCATACGTTTTCACAGAAAACATTTGGCGAATATACTGAAAGAACATCGTTTGAAAGACCACTTACAAGTGGTGTTGCGTATGCTTTGAGAGTGCGTGATTTTGAGAGAGAAAGTTTTGAGAAAAAACATGGATGGACAATAAAGAAAATGGAAACTGAAGATCAGACATTATCACAAGATTGCGACCCTGAAAAATTGGATCCTTCACCTATTCAAGACGAATATGCACCTGTTATTTTGTCTCAAGAAACCGTTGCACATATCGTCTCTATTGATATGATGTCTGGAAAGGTATCACAAAATGGACAAATTACAAAAAAACGATTATATTTCAGGCGATTTTGTGGTCTTAATTGCAATAATTGAAGCTTTAAAATCTTTTTTTATTCTTATTTAGGAAGATCGTGAGAATATTTTGAGAGCAAGGGCATCGGGAAAAGGGGTTTTGACATCTCCTTTCAAGCTATTGAAATCGAACCATTTAGGAGTTGTTCTTACATTTGCTGTTTACAACACTCACATTCCTCAAGATGCGACACCTGAGCAACGAATTAATGCAACAGTGGGGTATTTAGGAGCATCATATGATGTCCCATCATTAGTTGAAAAGCTTCTACATCAACTAGCTAGCAAACAAACCATTGTTGTCAATGTTTATGACATCACAAATGTTTCTTCAGCCATTAACATGTATGGACCTAAACAGATTGACACCGGGTTGTTGCATATTAGTGGTCTTGACTTTGGTGATCCTGCTCGAAGGCATGAAATGCGTTGCAGGTTATTAATATTTCTCAAATCTTTTTAGATTTCCATTTTTCAACTTTCAACAAAAAATAAAAAAAAAACCAAAATTCCATAGGTACGATGTAGACAGTCGTACCTCTACATGAGGGTAAGAGAGACTACTTCCGTAGACGACCTCTCCTGTGTAGGAAATGTGGGCCCACAATGGTGACGACCTATCATGTGTAGGAAAGTGGGCCCACAATGGTAAATAAAAATAGAAAGAGGAAGGGGAATAAATCAGAAAGCAGATGCTAGCAATAAAGTTGAAAGTAAAAAAAAGGAAAGAAAAATAAGAAGGTAAATATTGTGGGAAAGCACGACATAGATAAAAATGAAACTAGTTTCCTTTTTCATCTAATGTTGTGCTTTATCATATAGTATTTACCTTGATACACTTGTTCTTTTTCTACTTTCAGCTTTATTACTGGTATCTGCTTTATGTGTTATTCTCCTTCCTTCCCCTTTCTATTTTTATTCGTTGTTGTGGGCCCGCGTTTCTTATGCAAGAGGTCATCTATGGAAGCAGTCTCTCTTACCTTAGGCGCGCGATTGTCTACATCTCCCCTTACCCCTTTCCTATGTGATTCAAGTTTTATTGTTATTGATAAAAGTAAAAAAAAAAAAAATCTATGATCTATATTGCTCCATTACCCTGATTTTAAGTCTCCAAACCCTCCTATTTGAGTTCTTTTGCAACTTAAAAAAAAGTGGTTTTTATTTTATTTATTTATTTACTTGAAATATAAAAAAAGGTTTTTGTGTGTTTTCAGGTTCAAGCACAGGCCTTCACCACCATGGACAGCCATAGCAGCATCAATCGGAGCGCTTATAATCGTTTTTCTTCTTGGCCATATCTTCTACGCAGCCATAAACAGAATTGACACAGTCGAACGTGACTATAACGACATGTTAGAGCTTAAATTCCGCGCTGAAGCTGCTGACGTGGCAAAATCCCAAGTACGTTTGCGAGATTTTTCAAAATTCTCATTAAATTTGTTAAATTATTGTCTTGTTAATTCGTATTCTCCTCCTTTTTTGTAGTTTCTTGCAACGGTTTCGCATGAAATCAGGACTCCTATGAATGGGGTTTTGGGCATGTTGCAGATGTTAATGGACACGAATTTGAACGCGAAGCAATTGGATTTTGCACAAACTGCTCACGAAAGTGGAAAAGATTTAATAAAGTTGATTAATGAAGTTTTAGATCAGGCGAAAATTGAATCTGGAAGACTTGAGCTTGAATCTGTCCCGTTTGATCTTCGCACCATTCTCGATAACATTTTATCGTTGTTTTCAACCAAATCCCAAGAAAAGGGCATCGAGGTAATTTCTTATATAGTTTTTTTTTTGTATGCAGTAATCGAAAAGTGATTGGAATGGAGTATTACTATGGATTGAAATTTATTTTTCCAATTGTACATAACCCATATTCCATTCCATTCAATTCCAATTCCATTCCACCATTTATCTAACGCCAAGAAACTTTGTTCTTGTGGATAAAAAGTTGGCAGTTTATGTTTCCGATCAACTTCCCGAAGTTGTTGTTGGAGATCCCGGACGTTTCAGACAAATAATCACAAATCTTGTTTCAAATTCACTTAAAGTTAGTCCTCTACCCTTCTTACACCTCTCATTAAAATTCACCAATTCTTTTTTCCTCTTCAACTAATTTTCATTTTTTTATTATAGTTCACACACGACAGAGGACACATATTTGTATCAGTCCACCTAGCCGATGAAGCCAATCACCCACATGACACAAAAGATTCACTACTTAAAAAGACTTTGACTTTTGTTGACTCATCAAATCACAATGTCCACAACACCCTAAGTGGGCTTCCAGTTGTTGACAGGAGAAAAAGTTGGGAACTTTTTGAGAACTTAAGTGAAAAACATCCAATAAATCAATCCGAAAAGATCAAGATTTTAGTAACTGTTGAAGATACGGGTGTTGGAATCCCAAAAGATGCACAAAGTCGAATCTTTATGCCATTCATGCAAGCAGATAGTTCAACTTCAAGAACTTATGGTGGAACTGGAATTGGATTGAGCATAAGTAAGAGATTAGTGGGATTAATGGAAGGTGAAATTGGTTTTGTTAGTGAGCCCGGAATTGGAAGTGCTTTTTCATTTACAACGGTTTTTATGAAGAAGGAAACAAGTTCTTTAGACACGGTTTTGCAACAATATTATCCAACAATATCCGAATTCAAGACACTAAAAGCATTGGTGATTGATCAGAAAAGTATAAGAGCTGAAGTTACAAGATACCATCTTCAAAGAATGGGAATCTTTGTGGAAATAGCATCTAGTTTAGATTCTGCACAATCTTACATATCAAGGTACATTTCAATGTAGAAATATCATTTAGTTTACAAAGTGATTAATAAACTTCTTGAAATGGTAACTTTGATCACTTATCTTGCAGTGATTCACCTCATCTTGACATGATTCTGATAGACGAAGAAGTTTGTGACAAGAACACGAGTCTTGAAGAGGTCAAAGTCAAACCAATTGGGATGAAACCAAAAGTGTTTCTTTTGGTCAAATCTATAGACCCCATTAGACATAATGACCTCAAATTAGCTAATCTTGTGTGTGATGTTCTTGTGAAGCCTCTTAGATTTAGTGTCTTGATTTCTTGTTTTCAAGAAACTCTTATATCAAAAGACAAAACACAAGTGGCAAGAAGAAAACCGAAAACACTTGGGACTTTGCTACGTGACAAAAAAATCTTGGTGGTTGATGATAATGTTGTGAATAGAAGAGTTGCAGAAGGTGCTTTGAAGAAATATGGAGCTATTGTCACATGTGTGGAAAGTGGGAAGTCTGCTTTAGAAATACTTAGACCACCTCATTGTTTTGATGCATGTTTTATGGATCTTCAAATGCCGGAAATGGATGGGTGAGCAATATTTTTACTTATTTTTCAGCTTTATTGTTTGTATCTGCTTTCTTTTCTTTAGTCTTCATCATGGGCCTCTTTACTTTCAGCTTTATTGCTTGTATCTGCTTTCTTTTCTTTAATCTTCATCATGGGCCTCTTTAGTCTTCGCCTTTTTACTTTCAGCTTTATTGCTTGTATCTGCTATCTTTTCTTTAGTCTTCATCACGGGCCTCTTTACTTTCAACTTTATTGCATGTATCTGCCATTTATCATGAGCCTCTTTACTTACTTTTTTTCTTGTTTAGTCGTACACCATGCTTGTTCTTGATCGTGGGCCTCTTTACATTTAGGCTTTCAGCTTTATTGCGTGTATCTTTGAGTTTTTTTTTTTTTTTTTTTTTTTTTTTTTTTTTTTTTTAGTCTTACACCTTGCCTACATTTTTTGAATAGGGTTTTTTTGAATCTTTGATTTGTTAAAAAGAGATATGTAATTGACTAATTGCATCTTTAATTTTGTTAGGTTTGAAGCTACAAGACAAATCCGTGGTTTGGAGAACAAGGTTAATGAAAAGATTGAATCTGGTGAAATACCTATTGATATGTTCTCAAATGTGACTCATTGGCATACACCTATTTTAGCCATGACTGCTGACGTCATCCAAGCAACAGATGAAGAATGTAAGAAATGTGGGATGGATGGCTACGTATCGAAACCATTTGAGGAAGAACAACTGTATACAGCTGCAGCTTGCTTCTTTGAATCTGGTTGAGTGGCTAAACAAATTACGAAAATAACCTTGAAACATGACGTTTTACATTGAGGTATGGATCCAATTGAGGGTACCCAGATGAACAATTGTCTGAAACAATTTGGGCATTTTGGAGAAGACGACGTCTTTAAACTCTTTCCATTTAGGATCGTATTTCACCAAGCTTCCTCCTCTGTATTCCAGTAAGATCTCTCCGTTCTTCAAAACGCATAAAACCCTAACCATCCTCCGTGATAAACCAGGTCTCCCTATCTGGTAATGGTTCTCATGATTCGGGACCCTTGCAGGATAAACTCCATGGATGACGAATTCCTTCATCCAAGATTCCTGGGAATCGTATTCCTTCATGACCCAGATCTCCAATTTCCCATACCCACATGAAATCACCGCCGCTAGACACCCTCGTATGACGGCCAAGTGAAAGTTGCTCCGGATGACTGTAACATGGTTAGGTTTCGTCACTACTTTGAACTGTTCGTCTTTTAGGTCAAAAGAGATGATCGCTCGACCTAAAACTCCGGCGACTCTACCAGGTCGGCTCAGCCAATGGATTCTCCCGTTCACTACAGGAACTTCCGCCGCTTGTCTGTCAAGCTGGTAAGGCACTTTCCCGAGCGATCTCCATGTATTCTTGTTTGTTTCTTTGGAAATTGTGAGAATTTGAACCTCCGATTTCGGGTAATTCCTGTTGTTTCGGCTGACCCGACGATTCCCCTGCCGGTTTCTGTAGTACACAATCTTCACAACCTTGTACTCGTTTGTAATTGGGTGAAATCCGAATCCGAACATCACCTCCTGTTCCTGAAACTGCTTGGATTTCGGTAGCTCCAGATAATCCCGGGAAAACGGGTTGAAAACGTAAACGGGTTCACCATAAAGCGAATCGGACAAGCACAACAAGCCATTACATGAACCCACGACGTTGAATTCAGGCATGGAGCTACAAAAAGGTGTGGAAATCTTTCTTACGATTTTGTCGTCGTCGTCTTCATCATCTTCATCTTCGTCGCCGCCGCCACCGGAGGATAACTCGACGAAAGAGAGTTGGTTACGGATAGGGTAATCGCAGTGGAACAGCAGCGTCGGGTCGTTTTCCGCCACCGCAGCGTGGTGAAGCCGGGAAAGTTCAGGGTCGACTGACAGCAGTTTCCATGAACGGCAAACAAACCGGAACTGAATCAGGGATGAAATCGGCAGCTTGGCGAGTATGTCGAGGAGTACATCCCTGGGTAAATTCTCCAATCCGAAACCCTCGCCATGGATTCTGTCATCATCTTCATCTAAAAGTTTTGACCTTTTCTTTCTGGGTTCGATTTGGAAAGACGAATTCTGGATTTGGAAAGATGAATCCATGAGAAAAGATTGAAGAAATGGTGCAGAAGTAGCAGAAGGAGGCAAACGCATATTCTTGCTATATAGGGTGGGGGTTGAAGTTTGGGAATGGATCATGCCATAAATTGAGTTTGGTGGGTCCCACCATTCAATAATAATTTGGGGGCATATGTCTAAAAGTCCATCTTTTTTCCTTTATAAACGGGTGTTTAGTAATAAAAATAAATAAATAATGAGGATATGGTGACGAAAAAAACCTAAATGAGTATTGTATTTGTTTAAATATACATGTATTTGTATTTGTTAATTAATTATTTACAATAAAAGAATGCTACTAATTATATCGATTTTAGTGCATATTTTTACTTACTTATTTTATTAGACCAGTATTATTTATAATGTCTAGATATACATCTAGATATTGTAACTTGGATATGCTTTAGCATTATAATTCTATTTTTTATATTTATTTTCTTTTCACACTATTAAAAAAGTAGAAAAAGGAATCTCGAGCATGCCGATCGTTATATTTAGGTTCGTCTTTCCACAAACTCTAGGCGTAGTAGTACTAGTAGGATACAACTTCAGGTCACATTTGATGCAATCTGAATTTGTTAAGTCAAGTTCTAATATCACTGACATATATTTCTTTAGTTGGTTTTTACGAGATGATTCTGGGGCGTTGAGGGGGCCTTTTTTTTTTTTTTTTTTTTTTTTTTTGTCTTGGGAAATATTTTTTATAATAATTGTTTTTGTAATATTATGATTATATTTATATTTTTTAATATTAATAATGAATTTTATGAAATTTATAACGGTACGTGTATTTTTGAATTTTTATTTTTATTATATTTATTATTTTGAAGGGATAATTTATCATTTTGCCTTGGGTTTATTATGTGTTTGGACCGACTTTATTGAACTAAGATTTTAATAAAATAAAATTTAATATAATATAAAAGACAAAGAGGGTGGAGTTTAATCACTAGAGATTGTAGTGGAAAATTACGAGATTTTTAAGAATTGATTATATATATATATATATATATATATATATATATATATATATATATATATATATATATATATATATATATATATATATATATATATATATATATATATATAGTTAGGTTCATTTGAGACCACCTATATTTTGTGAGACCGTGAGACGTATTTTTTTTTTATTTTATTTATTTATTTATTTATTTATTTATTTATTTATTTTAGTTAATTCATGTTCCAAAAATAATATTTAAAAAAAGAATTTTTTAATTTTTCCATTTATTTTGCATTTTAAAATTATTTTTAGAATATGTACAGTGTAATATTCTATTTAGAATATTTCACGTATTTTTAAAAAAAAAATAGAATTTTTTTTATTTTTTTAAAATTTTTTTTAGTTAACTCAAGTTCCGAAAATAATATTTAAAAAAAGAATTTTTAGATTTTTCCATTTATTTTGCATTTTAAAATTATTTTTTAGAATATGTCAGTGTAATATTTTATTTAGAATATTTCACGTATTTTAAAAAAAAAACGGATTTTTTTTATTTTTTTTATATATATATTTTTTATTTTTTTAGTTCATTCAAGTTCCAAAAATAATATTTAAAAAAAGAATTTTTGGATTTTTCCATTTATTTTGCATTTTAAAATTATTTTTAGATTTGGTCTCACGATCTCATAAAATTAGAATGGTTTCAATGAACCTGAACCTATATATATATATATATATATATATATATATATATATATATATATATATATATTATATATTATATATATATATATATATATATATATACTACTTGGCACTCCACTTAACTCTCAATGAGTTGAATAGAGTGTGTATGTTCTTAAATGGATAATTTTTTTTAATAAGTTTGCAATGCTATGTGTTTTATTCTTTGCAAGAAGCCTTAGAACCATTAGCTGCGTACCGAGTTTATTTTGCTTATTAAAACAAACATCAAAATTTTAGCGGGAAACAAACCTGATCACGTAGATTATCTTCAATCAAAATTCAAGAACAATGATTAAGATACATTTCCTTTTAATATTAAAAGAATGTGTTGTTGATAAAGCCTAATTTTGACATAAGTAATGTTGCTTGTTGCTTACAAAATGGTTGATGATCCTGCTATGATGTTGATTATTGACATACACTACTCATTGTCATCGTTCTAAACCCTTTTATATTGGGGTATGAAGTCTTGTCTAACACATAGAGCACTTGGAGATGCAAATGAGTATCAAGCATCAACATGGAACACTTGGTGTTCATGAAGCATGTGACAAAGGAACTGGTCACCTAAGAAGGGAATAAATCATCAGATAAAGGAACAAGTAAAGTGACAGAGGAACAAATCTTCTAAAAGAGGGGTTTAGAGCACCTAGGAAGGGAATGGAACATTTTATGATGATCCATGATGAAGGTGTGCCATATATGCTCCGTGACGAGCCGTGATATTCCTTGATGAGCCACTTATGGAAGATGCTCGTAGATGATGCTCATGGAAGATGTTGATTCGATGAGGCTCATGGAAGATGCACATGCGATGATGCTCATAGAAGATGGTCATCGATAATGCTCATGGAAGATGCCCATCGAAGATGCTCATGGAAGATGCCCATCAACGATGCTCATGAGGTTGAAGATTTTAGAAGCGCCCACATGGAATTATGCGATTAGTTGAAAATTAGGGCATATCCTTTGTGGGCTAATTATGGATGGGTCTGGTCCATCAATATTATGGTTTACTATGCTTTCATATAAATAGGATCATATCCCATTCATTATTATTTGCGCGAGTGTTTGCGAGTACGCATACATAGTAATTTCAAGAGAACAATCATTATAAGGTTGAGTGCACATCCTTTGGAGCAGTTAGTAAGCATGAGGGTTTCTTTCGTTTTGAAAGCTCAAGTGGGATGTAGCCTTTATGTGTGATTGTAATTGTTCTTGGAAGTTTAATAAAATCCTTTCTCTTTCTTTCCTTTCTCTCTCTCTCTCTCTCTCTCTCTCTCTCTCTCCATCTTTCTTGTTCTCCCGTGGATGTATGTTATCTTGACCGAACCACATTAAATATTATGTTCGGTTTTGATTTAAGTTTTTCAGAAGTTTTATTCCGCAACTTTTATTGAATTTTATTAACATTTGTCAAAAGTGCTTAACTTGTTTTGTTGTCATCCCAACACCTTACGCTACCAAAATGCCTAACTGGAGAAGCATATTGACGAGAGTTTCTTAGTGATAAACTCCTTGGATTTTATTACATTTATTTTTGAATTTCTCACATCACCATTTCACTATGTATATTATTATATTCTAAACAGGACATTGGGTGAAGCGTTGAGACGTTTAACATTTCCTACATAATTTAGGGATGATCATAGATCATGGTTTAAGTTGTTAATGTAGGATTAGTATGTATGTTGAACATGAGGGGACAAATGTAACATCCCAAAATTACGAGGGTAAAAATTTCATTTTTAAAACAACCAAAACACTTTTATCATTTATTCAAACTCCTAAAGGTATTTTATAATAAAAGCAGTTATCATAGTACAATCCCAAAATCTTAAGGTTGCGGAAAATATGGATGTATGCGTTGCGATCAAGCCGGACTCTTCCATTTCGAACCGGAAGTACCTGAAACCATAAACAACAACTGTAAACACAAAGTTTAGTGAGTTACCCAAATACCATATACCATACATAATATACAAGGCATACTTATCAAACATGCAATAGGAGGTGCTATGTGCCAACCATAGTCTTGCCATTATGCCACGAGTCGTATCGTGGTCTTTCCTTGCCAGGCCGAGGACCAAACTCTGGGTCTTACGGATAAGTGCCAGGAGTCACCTCTAGGTCTTTCATGCAAGCATCACAAAGACAAATAACATATAATCTACAATTACTTATCTATGCTTATCTTCTAGAGTCCAAACTCTGGTCTTGCATACAGATTTTCCAGGAGCTACCTCCTGGTCTTTCATACAAACGTCAAGGGTTACCCCTGATCTTTCTTCCTATAATATATAAACCAAATGGGCCGATATTGGTGTCTTCGACCCATAGTACAGTGAGGAGACTCACCTTAATCCAAGATAACTGAATACTCGAGCCGTTGTTACCAAAATCCTTGCACCGACAACATCAAATAATATTTCATCAATAATCGACTCCCAAACCAACCATAATTCTAGTCCAATAACCAAACCGTTGGAGTAAAAGTCCATTTTACCTTGTTTCCTTACTTGCCATAAATCCCAAGACCAATCCACAAGCATCATAATACCAAACCCTGAAATGACACCACAAGGCCCAATAAGGACCAACTATCCAAATTAGGAACCCATCATGGACTTATCTCGAGAAGGCCCAGTATCCTAAAGGCCT